ATTTTTCCAAATGTTCCATTTAGTCTGTTGAAAGTCCTTCCACCTGGTACTGTTCATTGAATGCAATGGTTCTTTGCCTTCCTTTGGACTCCTCCAGTGTCTGTCCATGTGAAATTATTGACAGAATTAGATATTATTTTACAGTAGAGTTATAGCTGTCCAAGTTCTAAATAACAGCTAAGACTAACCCCATGGTGAAAGATTCCTAATAATTTTCCAGATTTTCTGTGTTAGTGACAGGTTTCATGCATGCACTCAGCTATTAAAGCATTAGAGTTTCTTTGATTTCTTAATCATTAACAACTTTAGCTCTGATTGCCCATGGAGTTGCAAGCTGTTAAAATTATCATTTGCCTCTTACTGACTTTGAAACCAAGAGCTGTTTCTTCGTTAGATTGCAGCACAGGTCTTTCTCAGAGTACAGGCAACTAGGGAGTGCTAAGAATCTACTATAAGGAAGCCTAATCTAAAAATAATGCACTTGTAAAATAAATGGGAAAAGGGAGCGAGTTCTATTGTTTAAAAGATTACTAAGCTATTTTGTTTTTTAAAGGATTCAACAATTTTTTTTTCAGTAAAAAGTACCTCTGGTTTTTACAGTTTATAATTTAAATGCCGATAATTTTATGAAAAAAGTAGAGACAGGAAACCTGAAAATGATTGTTTCAATTCTAAAACGTCAGTTGAAATTCAACTAGAGTTAAGAGAATGTTGAATTATCATGTAAATCAATAGATTATAAAAAAAACTGTGCTGGAAAAATTCTATTTATATGCAGCCTTTTCAAATCCATTCCCCTATATGCCTATAGTAAATGCTCAATTAATGTTTGTTACATTGATTTGATCTATGTTAAGATCAATTAATAGTATGTAAAATGAAATACGTTACTCTGAGCATTCATTCATGCATTCACCATACATTCAGAGGTATTTACTTATATTCCACATGCAGTTTATTGAAAACTGATGACAGTTATAAAAAAATGGCTTATCTCTAATGTTAGCGATATACTTCTACAGAAGTGGGCTGAAGGAATTTATATCAGGCCAAGAGGCTCCTATGGACTGGTGCTGTGCAGGCTCCTTAAGAAACATTTCAGAACTTGTTAAAATAATCAATTCCTAAACCCCATTCCCAGGATTTTGTTGGGTTGACCTAGCATGAGTTTATCATTCGAAATTTATGGAAAGCTACCCAGATACTGACATACCTAATATGCCAAGTGTCCGGTCATCCTTTCAACCAAAGTGTAATATGCTAATGATATGCTAAGGCTGCTCAGCTGCTCACTATGACATGCACTGACCACCAGGGGGCAGACAGTCGACTGGTCAACCAGTCGCTATGACATGCACGGACCATCAGGGGGCAGATGCTCCAACTGGTAGGTTAGCTTGCTGCTGGGGTCCTGCCGATCGGGACTGAGCGAGATGGGCCAGACATGCCCTGGGTCCTGCCATCGGGACTGAGCGAGATGGGCCAGACATGCCCTGGAGCCCTCCCACGGTCCCACCGGACTGGCCAACTTCCCATGCCCCTCCCCAGCCCCGATTGTGCACCAGTGGGGTCCCTCGCCCTGGCCAGTGCCCTCTTGCAATCTGGGACCCCTCGGGGGATGTCAGAGACAGTTTCGGCCCGATCCCACAGGCCAGGCCGAGGGACCCCACTGGTGCACGAATTTGTGCACCGGGCCTCTAGTAATATCTATAACTGTTTCTTCCAAGCAGAATCAGTTACCACAGATATTTGTTTAGCCTATTTTTAATGTTCCTATTCTTGACTTCCGGTTAAACTCTATCTTCCTCTGGGAAGACCCAACCCTCTGAGGTGATGGCAGGGATAGGATTTTTTTCTTAGAGCATCAGGAATATGAACATCTAGCTTTCCTCAGTCTAATATTTGTGATTTCCGGGAATTCCTTCTAAGTACCAATGCAATGCCAGACAGTACACTGTTCTACCACATGATTTAGTAGTTAAAGCAGGAAAAGCTAAAGTTAGCACTACCTGGAAGCTGTCTCATATTTAGCTCCCACTAATACTGCTCTTGTACATAAACCATACTCCTGTGCTTCTTGATGTCATTCTTTATGGCACAGACCCCTACCAAATTTATCCCCATACCTTTCTCTGAGGAAGTACAGCATAATGTTCTGGCTTATAAAGAGCCTATCGACAGAGTAACCAAGAATGGATACACGTAGTGCATCTTTGCCTGATCCATTTAATCCACTATTTACCTTGCTACCCTTAATTTTATGATTAGAATAAAAACACTAATTTCTCAGTTCTATTTTCTTTTTTTTCTTCTTTACATCTCCTATATAAGTTTTGTATTTAAGTACTGATCTGCAACATTTCTCCAGAATTTACCAGCTAATTTTCTTTTTCCCCATAAGCTAATATTGATGCATTTTTCATCTGTGTAATACACTGTACATATAATCAATGCTTCCCACTCAATATCATTATTATTATTATGTATAATCATGCATTAATTATAATTAATTATGATTTTGAGTGCTTGTTAAAAATATAATCTCTCTTTCCCTTAGGAACGTTCATGTCTACATTTTTCTGAGGGAGCAGATAATTTTACTTGTAAGCTTGCAGGCTTGCTAAGTACTGTGTGCAAGAAGGTTGTGACATAGCATCCATTCTCTGAAAACTCACAGACTGAGAGAAATATGTCATTTCCTTTTATGGTGAAATTCCACTTGTCCTTGATATTTGTGCCCGTTAAGCATTCGTGAAGGACAAAGGAAATTTGATAAAGCATAGCTTGGCAAAATCTCATAATTACTCACTAATCCTATGTTAAAATTTAATATATTGAATTCTATAGGAAACATTTCCATTTTCTCTTCTTCAGAGTAAATAATTCAAATTCCTTTAACCACTTTTGTTTACTAACTCCGTGAATGCCATACTTAATTAACTTAAATGAAGAAACATGGTTAAGCAATTTTAGCCTATTTTATATAAAATATAAAATTTCATAGCTGATAAAAGGAGGGTAAAATCAAATGACACCTGAGATGGCTCAATGAGGACAGGAAACTTTGTTAAATTTATTTACTAAGGATAAAATCATTCAAGTTTTCTAGACAGAATGAATGGTTAGCAACTTCCCCACAGAAGTACTCAAAGTATTTGCCTCAGAAAGATTTTTTGCCTGGCTAAGATAATTTTTAAGGAGGAAAATAAATGAAAAAAATTCCATTTTTCATAAACAGCATTTCTAGAACATCACATTACTATCCCTTCTGCCACTTCTTGGTATGAACCAATTGAAAAGTACTTTCCAATGGTTTTCCCATTAAATAAAAGAACATGTTTGAGTTCTTTTATATCATTAGAAAATAGCAACCAACATTTTGGTGATGTGGAATCATCACTAAAGTGATAATAAGGATGAAGTATTGTACCCTTTTTTCACTCTGTTCATCTTCTGACTTTATTTTTGTCATATAAGAAATAAATATAAATATCATTATGAATGACTTTGCAATTTTTCTTTGAAGTTTCATTTATCTAAGTTATAATAATTAACATTCAAGATTGAATCATTCTTGAAGGCAACTAAAGCATTAGTTTGTACGATGTTTCACCAGGTCCATTCATTCTGTATCTGCTATCAGAATGCAGCCATCTTTGAGTATATCCTGTTCATGTATTATGGACATTGTTAGTCATAATAATTCATATTAATGATCCACTTGCATTATGGTATTAATGTAAGAGTCAAATGTCTGGACGTGGTTTTGTTTATAAGTATAGTTAGAAATGAGGGGGGAAAAAGAATGGAAGGACAGACATCCTGAAGTGAATGATGGTATCTCTAAGACATAAATCTCAATTTTTTCTTAGTTTTTCTAAATTTATGAAATAAAATAAGTTAAATCTTAAAAAAAATGGAAAAAGAAAAATTAGAGTTGATGCTTCTTTCTTTTTTAAAAATATATTTTTATTTATTTCAGAGAGGAAGGGAGAGGGAGAGAGAGATAGAAACATCAATGATGAGAGAGAATCATTGATCGGTTGCCTCCTGCACGCCCCCTACTAGGGATCGAGCCCACAACCCAGGCATGTGCCCTTGACTGGAATCGAACCCAGGACCCTTCATTCAGCAGGCTGATGCTCTATCCACTGAGCCAAACCAGCTAGGGCTGATGCTTATTTCTTATTTTGTATTTGTTTATCCTAGCAGGGTTGCCCAGTTTTTAATATATTTTTTATGTCTTCCAAGCAGGCTTTCCTTCTTGACCATGCTACTAAAACAGTTTTTTTATTTCTTAGCAGTATGCAAAGTTCATGAGTTTCTATTACTAGAACCTAAAGATAAATACAGAACTGTAGGTGACTTTAGGGTTTCTTTTTCTTAATTTGGTAAATTAGGCTTATAGATGGATTCTTGCATGTATTTTGCTGCAAGCTGATACTTAGGGTTTTTCTGTTTGCAAATATGGAGAAGAGTTAAGGGAGACAGATGTGTTGAGATGCATGGGAGGCTTTCGAAGATATGGTAGAGTTGATAGGCTGATTCATATTTTAGAGATATTAATAAATTGAAAGCCATTCATCAACATTGCTCAGGCCCTACCTCCTAAATCTTTGTTTAGATTAAAACCCCAACATAATTAAAGAGTTTCTACCTTGACCCATTGGCCATTAAAAGTTATATTCAAATCATTAAACTATAACCAGGAACATCTTTGCCGTTGGTGTCCAAAGAAATGCCTCAAAACTCTTTCTTAGGTAGATTTCTGAATTTTCAAAAATGGGTCTTCTTCCTAGCCCCTCCCCCTTTTTCTTTTCACAATTGAGAAACTTTCTTCACTTTAGCTTTATGAGACTGTCAAGGGAAAAGAATCCTATCCAACTATCATGAAACATTAAAGAAGACAGGATAAAATTGAATGCCTTGGGAGTTTTGTGCAGTACAAAAAAGCAAGGAATAATTTGGTTTATTTGTTTTTTCCCATCTAATATTTTTAGGTACAAGCCTATGCAGAAAGTGGATGGGGTTGCAGATGGTTTCACAGGAAGTGGTCAACAGACAGGCACATCTGTTGAGCAAACTGTAATTGCCCAAAGTCAACATCATCAACAGTTTTTAGGTATGTTAAGGTGTAATGCATATTAGTTGCTTTTAGGATTTTGAAGACAAGAGAACAATAGTAGTGTTTTCTTCAAGTGAGATTTCTATTATAGACGTTAACCAAATAGAAAGACTCTTTTGTGTGCTGAAACTACGCACATTGTATGACATTTCCAGTTCATTTCTATTTTCTCATGTTCACTAAAGCTTATTTTTAAAACTCTTGAGCTATGTAGGACTTCTAAATGTATATAAATTAAAGGCTATTTGCTGTGAAATTGTTTTTCAGAATTTGTATTAATTGGGCTTTTTTTTAAATCAAAATTGTGTTGTGTGTTTTTTATATTTCAGTAGCAACTTAAGTTCCAAAAATAATTATTTTCTATGTATAAAGTTACATGTGCATACAGCCTCAGATTAGAATAAAAGTTATAAGCTTTTAAAAAGTAATTTATTCTTTTAACTAGATCACAACACTTCATTTTTTTTAAAATCATAGATGATATACATGTTTCTCTTTATTTAAAGAGTTAGGAAGTAGAACTTGATCATTTTGCATCTTCTTGTAATAGCCAAAGGTGCAAAAATGGCACTTTAATTTAATTGAAAACTCTTCTAGTGATGAACATGCATAATTTCTGTACAGCAGATCAAACAAGATGAGTAGAAGCTGTCAGAGAGTGTGTGTGTGTATGTGTCTGTATGTGTTTATGTGTCTATGTGCACTTTCTGAGAAAGACAAGTTGGAGAAGTTGAATATATTATGGCATCATTTCCCAAACTAAAATTCATAGGTATATTCTTATGGGCCTTTGAGCTCTCAAGAAGAATATTTTTTTATTTCATCTTTTTATTTCAACTATTATCTTTAAAAAAATAAAAGCATATTCTGGATCACCTAGAAGACAAGAAGGAATACTGTTCTGTAATTTTAGTTTCCACGTTTGTATTTGAATTTATGATAAGGCAGACTCCAAAGTGTATTGCATTAATAAGAGCTATGAGAAAAGAACAGAGACTTACTATGTAAATTACACCTTCATCCCAAGGGAAGGCTAAATGCTGTCCCAGTGCTCAGTGTGGAGGAACATTTCACAGCCCATTTGCATATAGAAAAGTAATGGGAGGTCCAGCCACCAGGAAGTACCTGTTGGTATAAGCGTGTCAAACTCAAAAGTTCCTGTGCCACAGCAGTCAGTACCTCAATCATGTTCCATACAGGACAACAGCATCATCCATCACATCAAGTTAATGTTGTTGAGTTTAATGTTATTCTTGTAGTTTTCTTTGTCTTTATTTTGTAGGTTTGTGGTTTAAAATTATATAGGAAGTTTGAGCATAATGAGTTTAAAGCTAGATTTTTTACATGCTTAAGTAACATAATAGTAAAAATAACCAAAATTGATTCTGGAAATTGATATATATATATGCCTTATATTAAAAGACACTATGGTGTGATATAGTAATAGTGAAAATTTAGTTTCTCCAAAATTTTTATGTTCCCTCTATTCTTCTGAGCTAACGATGTTGCCAAGTTTTGCTTGCAAGTAGTAATATAAAAAATCCTTGCTCTTTGGGCCTCTGATCTTTTATTTATTTATTTTTCCTTTTTAGTTTTCTTAAACTTTCCTTCATTAATCTGTAATTGGCACCATCCACAAAGCTTTATTCTGTTGTGTTGTCCTGGTAACAGATGCATCTCGAGCACTCCCAGAGTTTGGAGAAGTTGAAATCTCTTCTCTGCCAGATGGTACTACCTTTGAGGATATCAAGTCACTGCAGAGTCTTTATCGAGAGCACTGTGAGGTAAATCTTTTCAGACATAGTACAACCCCCTGCTGAGTTGTGCTAGCCAACTTACCAAAGCAAAATAACCAGACTTATTCCTAAGAGACATATAAGTTAGTTCATATGTCTTTGAGCACCTATAAGTTAATTTATCTTCTTGTCTCAGAGTAGAAAGGTGAGGACTATAGGAAAGGGAGAATGAATTTTACTGTCCATTTTCTTAGCCTATTCTAATGAATCCTTTGATGCATTCTACTTCGAGGTTTTTATCCTAGAAAACATGTTTACATATGGATGAAGAGATAAGTGCACAAGGGAACTAATTTACTGCATTATTGTTTTCAATGCAAAAGGTTGGTTATAACTTCAATATCTAGTAGGGAACTAAATAAATAAAATATGGTATAATCTATAAAGTGAAATATTATGCAGCCATTAAAAAGAATTGGCGAGTCTAAATGCACTAATATAGAACAAACGTAGAATTTATTTTCAAAGGAAAAAAGCAAGATGCAAAGCAGTGTGTATAGCATACTATCATTTGAATAAAAAGCAGCATGTATGTACATCTCTCCAGAAGAATAAACATGAAAATGTTAATGGTGGCTGATTTTGTAAAGGAAATTGGGTGACTAGGTGGCAGGAGAAAGAGCCCTAATTTTTCAATGCACCTTTTTTACCTTTTAAATTTTATACCATTTTCTATCAAAAATATTTTCTGTAAATGTTTAATAAAGCACTTCCAGGGATCATGGAGGCTCCAGTTTTGTTTTTGTGGTAATTAAAGTTCCTCTTGGTATTTTGCATCCCTACTCCTATCCCTTTCTGAATATCCCACCTCAGAAGTGGCTACATGGTCTCCAGGAGGGGAACTCTCTCCAAGGCATGACATGTACCTGCGGCTCACTTAGTACCGAGGGAATGATGGATTACAAGGAGAGTTTTCATAAGTGCCTTTCCTTTTGAAAGAGGAGTCTGTTTAGAATTTAGGTAGCTTTCTTCCAGGGCTATCTATGATCTACTTATAAGTAAAAGATAATCCTTTAGATTTCACAGGCTGTCCTCCTGACTGCTGACAATGCAGTATAGTGAGGAGTCGCAGTTCATAGCATTCACAGATTTTTCATTCTCCAGAAATAAGAACTGCTTGAATAAATCTGAGTGCTTGTCAAGGGTGCTAGATTATTAACAACCAAGGGCATGCTCTCTCTTTATTAAAAAACCATGTACCACATTGTTTTCAGCATATCCTGCCAGTCTGTTCCCAACATTTCTTGCAATGATGAAAGACAATATATGTTTCTCTTTGACTACTGCTTTTCCTAGTATTAGAGAATTTTTGGATGATACTTGTATATCTAGGGAAAATTTCTTTTTACATGTATATCTGAAGATTCTCTAACCATTTTCTTATTTCTCTGTACTCTCTGAACCTTGCTTTAAGCAAACCAGTCTACACAAATATAATTTGTATTTCTTTAAGTTTCTCATACTTATTCAAAGTATAAGTTGGAGCAATATTATTTATATTACTAAAGAATATATAGTAAGATTATTCTAAGTGAAAACCTTCCCCAATAAAATGAAAATATTCTTTGGGTTACAAAATTTTCATCAACATTTCTATTTGTAGGATTACTCTATATGAAGAGAGATAGACATGTCTGATGATTAATATTTGTGCAGTCTATAGAATGAGCCCAATTTATTTCAGAGTTACCAGAATTCATGCCATCTCCCATGGAGCATAGGAGCAAATATGAAAAAGAAGAATTCTATTTTTTTCTGTGAAAATTCCAAACTTTTGAAGTACAGATACATGAGTCATTTGCTCCAAGCCAATATAATATGGACTATTTTAAAATATATTTGATATGTATTTTAATATGAACATATTTGAAAATGGGTGATTGGACAAAGGATACGTGTTTTATTCATTTGTAAAACTGCCTCAAGAGGCTACTGTGAAGAATGTCCTTTTTGAAGGCATTTGAGATTGACTTAAGAGTCACTAAATTTAAGATGCACTGAATTACTTGCTTTATTTTATATCGTGTTTACTACAGTTTGTGTTTTAAAGAAAGCTTAACATACCTATTTTGCCTATCATTTAGAATTCTCATTATTTGTTTATCAAAGATATTGTGTAAGTATCACTATTTTTAGGTAAGGAACAAGTATAATTTTCTACACAAGGTGCTGCAACACTATTTTTTTCTTTTAATATACAGATAGTGTTCTTACAGCAATCTCATGGATATAAATATGTAAGGTATTATGTGAGATATTAATAGCTGCTTCATTAATAGACCTCTCTTGCAATGTGCCTAAGCTACAGTTGAGAAAGCAGCTATAATTTTACCTGCCTCTTGAGAAGGTTTTAGTTTTTGCCTGGGAGGAGGAACATCTATACGCCCTTTATTTGCAGGGCTTGCACTTGCATTTTTATTATTGCTGATATAAAAGGGTGAAGAAGAGTATGTTAACCTTTTGAATTTTACACCATTTTCTAATTTGCCCCTTTCCCTCCATTTTCATTACTAACTACTTGGAGCTTTTCCTACTAGTTCCCAGAATATGTCCCAAACAGATTTTGCTTAATATTTGAATTGTTTTCAGAGTTTTTTGTGTAGATCATCATTTATTCTCTGTATCATACATAAGGTCAGTCTACACAGGTAGCACAGCCTTCAGAATTATAACGTTATATTTTTTTTCTTTTTGCCTAAAATCCTTAGATTGACTCCCAGTTTTCCTCTGTTGTCACTTAGCTTATGTGCATTTTGTAGATCTTGACTGGGCAGCTGTCCTCATTCTCAATGCTGAGGACATTAAACACACTATATTGACAACTTCTGTCTTTTATGCTCAAAATAATCACAGAATCATGTGTTCTTTGCACAAGTTATTCTTTTATTTTATGACTGCTTTTATCTGAAGGTGAATTTATAAACTAATTGCAAGGGCAGGGCAAAACTAAATATGATCATCAGAAGTTAATGGAAGTGGCAAATTTTACCATCCTCAAAATAAAATTAATCTCCTGGAGCTGGATAATGGCTCTAGGAGGTAAAATTAAGAAGGTAAAGCCCCTGACGCCATATTAGAGAAGGGGATGTTCTTAAAGCTGCTCTCGAAAGGGCAAGCGCAGAATAGGATTGAATGGGAGGCATTGCATGACCAAAGAGAGGTGCTGGCTGTACTCTCCTTCTGCCCGGCAGGCGATCACCTGAAGGCCTTCCTGACTTGACTATAGTTTGTGACCCAGCCTCTGCGTAGCTGGGAACACTTTGGGACCTATGGTCAGTAGCCTTCGACAGAGCTACTTTAGCCCTAACTCTGTCTGCCACACACAAGCACCCCCACACCCTTCACTTCTGGCCTCTTTGATGGCCAGGGGACACAGTCAGCTCAGTGAGGACTGACGTGAATTGAATCTATGTTTTGTGCCCTTCGCTCTGAGAATATGAAGAATGGCAGCAACTCTGGAGGCAGAGGGAAGCAGTGGGTAGAAAAAAATGAAAGAAAATTAAGAGAAGAAAATGGAGAAGAGGGACGCAAGCATGGGGGAGGAAAGAGGTGAAAGTAAGAGTGAGGTATGAGGCCATTATGGGAGGGATACCAGTCATCCTGCCTAATCTCTTAAGAGTTGTTTTTCCCCCTTTTCTCCCCCTAGCTAATCTCTTTTGTTTCCCTACTTCCGTTGGCCCAATTTAGTCCAGTTTTACCATGTTAAGTTATGAACCCAAAGGTATTTTTACCATTTAAGTCCCTTTACATTATGTTCTCCTCTCACCTCCACATAAGAAATATTGTAAGGTATACCAATAACCATTTTGTTTCTTAGGCAATATTGGACGTTGTTGTGAATCTTCAGTTTAGCCTGATAGAAAAATTGTGGCAAACATTCTGGCGCTATTCTCCCTCTACTCCAACTGACGGCACTACCATTACTGAATCAAGGTCAGAATCAATAAACTTTCCAGTTCATTTTCATGGCTAAGTAGATGTCACAGTTAATAAATTAGAGATATGTATACCAGTTGTGAACCCTACCTGATAACATTAAATGAATAGATTGAAATAAGCCACAAACTGCTCTCTGGAGGTTTCAGCGTGTGTACAATAGCTCCCATTTTATTGCATTGGGGGACTGTGGTAGAGCTATTTCATCCTCATGGATTTAGTATCATATATGCCTTTCATACCGTCAGGAAGTATTAACGTGCATAGGCAGCTCTGGGGGAATGTTATATATATCCAGCCGTATGGCACCAGTGCAATGGTGGTATAGTTCTAACCTCAGTAATATTTGATAAACTAAAACTATTTTTAAAGTCCATTTTCTTTTTTATCCTCATTTGCCATCTATTCATTTGCTACATTTATTCACCCCAGCAATCTGAGTGAAATAGAAAGTCGACTTCCGAAAGCAAAGCTGATAACTCTGTGCAAACATGAGTCTATCCTGAAATGGATGTGTAACTGTGACCATGGGATGTACCAGGCTTTGGTGGAGATTCTCATCCCCGACGTCCTTAGACCTATTCCTAGTAAGTTAAATGCAGACAAGTACGGATGCTTTTGTTCTCATACATGCCACCCAGGAAGTTTTGGGAAGTGACATTGCAATCTAGAGGGATTCTAATTGCATTTAGATTTGCCACATAGAAAACATGCAACACAGAATATTGCCTGAAAGCAGCCTAGAGCAGAACTGTAGTAAAAGAGGAACAATGATCTGGTTTTCAATCTTTAGTAGTTTTCTTTTTGAAAGAAAAGCTAGCCTATGGATGTGACAGCCCAATGACTAATTGCAAGAACACGCCCAGGCCAGTCAAGCACGTACAAATTATTCTACCCAAGGACACAGTTTCCTCACTAAAGCCAAAATTTTTGAAACCTGTAATTGCTAGGCCAGCTTCTTTCATGGTTGCTTTTGATTTGAAATGAATTTATCTTGGTTTCTACTGAAGTTGAATTCTTTTATAAAAGCATTTACTTTGTCACCCACATCATGTTCTGAACTACAAATGCAGTTTCCATTTAACAGCAATGATTAACTGGCATTTTGAGAGAAAAATCTATGTTACTACGCAAGCATTTTAGTCCCACCATGAAGCAAACAGGAATTACATAGATAAGTTGGATTAAGTGATGCTTGCTTTTTACACTACCTTGCAGCAAACAAAGCTATTTTCTGCAAGTGTCAATATAAATGCCACTATGGATACTTGTGTTAGCGGCAGTTGGAATGATTTTACACTTACATCTTCATGAGCACATACTAGTGACCTTAACTTTTAAAGACTAGGGACAGAAGTTCCACTCTAAAGTGACATTAGTAAGGTAAAAGCAGTCTTTCAGCTTGTGAAATCGGCAACCGTGTACTTGAAGTACACCATTCACAGGTGATTTGTATTAAGTTTTTCCAGACAATATTTAGGGATTGAATAGAACAAAAGGTGAAGAATGAACATTTGTATAATTATACTTGCTTTTTATCTAAATATGATAGATAACAGTGGAAGATATGAGTTACTTCATATGTTCCTCACCACCTGAAAATACATGCATAGACACACATTTACATACAGTATCAATGAACATACATACATTTGTATAGAAATTTATTTTTTAAAAATCCAACTGCCATTGTCTCACATTTTTATCAATTGCTAATGTTTTCTACTCTATCTGCACTATGTTCCTAAGCATTGATTAAAAATAATGATGTCATGGAAAATTTCAGTGTGTAAATTCTCTACTGATTTATGTTTCAGAATCTGATTTTCCTTGTTTTCATCTCGCTCCCTGTGCTCTGAGTTATAGTCTCTTGAGATGTTTAAGAGAAGTAGCATGGTAGTCCATTAGACATCTTCCCACCCACATATAATTTCTCTCATGAGATATAAGAAGAGATGTCAGTGAGCACTTTCTTTTTTGAGGCAAATCAACAACATCAATATTCTTGAAATAACTCTAAAATCTTAAATTTCCATGTTAGCCTCACAAGACTTTAACTTATAAATTCCAGTTTCCTAACTTAAATCATGCATCAGTTTTAGTTAACTGTAAGCCCCACCATTTAAATACAGAATACATTTGACCTTTGTTTTTAAATTGTGATTTAAAAACCAGTTTATTCTGTCAAGTACTTTGTCTCTACATTCAGCAGACAACTCAACTTCAGGAATTTTACATAAGTATAGTTTCATAGTTTCTCTGAAATTACAGGATACATTAATGCGCCAAGTAAATTTGGAAATTTAATTCCCATTCTATAACAAGACTTAAAAAAAAGCTTAAAATAGAGTTTAGATGGCTATCTTCTGATTGTATGCATCTTAATATTAATCATGAGTGGGTTGAAACAAGTTGCTTTGCAATAGATTTTAAATTTCAAACATCCATTCATGAGAACAGTTGTCAAAGTTAATGTGCACAATTTGATCTGACAGGAACCATAGAGAGAGAAAACGTAACTTTATTTTAAAAATTGTTATTTTGTTGCTACTAGTACTTCACTCTACCATTTACTGTCCAGATGGGATTCCTTTTTTTAGCCAAAAAATAGTCTGCATCTCATACTAATTTAAAGTCAGCTTGAAGCTACTATATTCTAAAATACATTTATCTGAAAATGAAGAAAAAGTTAAGTGCAAAGAATTGTTTAAGAACTCAACTGGTAATACTTAAATGTACAATTTTTAGGTCTATTTAAAGATGGCCCAAAATGTCATTTAGTATAAAAAAAGTAAAAACTAAAAATCATCTGATATACAAATATATCTTTTATAATCTCCCTCGCATCAGATTTGTCTAGGTAAAACTCATTAATGTTTTAAAGTAACTTTTCCTGGGTCTTGGTTTTTTTAGATTAAATAATTGTTACATACTAATTTTAGAAAAATGCCAAATACAGATAGCCAAATTGAATCTTGCAAAAACTTTTACTGAGTTTCAAAAAGCGTCGTTAATTTTCACTCTTTTTCATGTCCATTCATGCCTGTCCTTCATGATTCTAGTACATAATGCAGCAGGAAAATACTTTTATGTCTCTTTTTTTTTGGGGCTAAAGTGGGAAGCTTTGGAAATTTCAAAAGATTAGTTCTCAAATTTCCAACTCAGTGTTTCCAATAGATGATTCTCATGGTCTGCACTTCTCAAGTGTTTTTGCTAATAAAAAATTAGCCATTTCAGTTTCTCTTTTGTCATTTGACCAGTTAAATAAGTCATTGTCTAAAAATAGTTGTTTTTATTATTGGATTAGTAATATTTATATCATTTGCAAGTAACTTAAGTAATTGTCTAACTGCGCTTTAACAAAAGTAATAGAGAAGCATGTCAGATTCATTTGAGCACAAAGAGAAAAACCGAGAAACTTAATCTCATCATTAATGTTAATATTTTGGGGAGCCTTGGACAAACATGTAACTTCTCTGTTTCTTACAGTAGACTACCGGTTGTAATACCTTACCCATACGATAGGGAACCCACAAAGACTTAACTGTGAATGCCTCAAATATTTAGTAAGTGTCTAAAGCTGCTCCCTCCACTTTGGCACAGATGAAGGGAAATGCTATTGACTGAATTACTTGTTGAACAAGAGAAGAATTCTGTCTTCTCTTAAGCAGCAATCTCAGTAAACAGATCCCTTCTTGTAAAATAGTCAGTCACCCCTGATCATTGAAGATGCTTCCAATCGCTTTATGGCCACCATGAAAAGCCACTCTCATGGAACCTACCCCTATTTCAGGTTTTAACAGATGTGTGAAAAGTATGGACTGGACTAATTTAGGAATATCTTAAGAATATTGGTCTTTGTGACAGTAATTTTATCACACTGATCTTTTATCTCTACCTGCCAAGTGAAATGGAGAATAGTTATCCAAAATTTCAAGTTAGGCCATGTGAATTTTTACCTTATTTTTCAACAAGAGTGAGAGAAAACTACTCTAGCTGGCATGTTCTAATGTAAATAGAGGCTTAGAAAAAGAGAGAAAGCTTTGCATGATCCTCTTTTTAACTAAAAAAAAAAGGAAAATAGGTTAAGAACTTGAAAAATCAAGATGAAGAACTTGTAAAGGAAAATAGCTTTGAGCACAGAGCTGTAAATAAAAAGTGTTTGTCTAAGATAGAAAATTCACAACTGGTATATGTGGCATGTTCATGTAAATAGAGGCTTAGAAAAAGAGAGAAAGCTTTGCATGATCCTCTTTTTAACTAAAAAAAAAGGAAAATAGGTTAAGAACTTGAAAAATCAAGATGAAGAACTTGTAAAGGAAAATAGCTTTGAGCACAGAGCTGTAAATAAAAAGTGTTTGTCTAAGATAGAAAATTCACAACTGGTATATGTTGTTATAAGTAACAATGTTTGAATGTTTTCATTTCCCAACTAAGTAGCATTAGTATCTGTGAACAAAATCGCTTTGCAAGGAAAAACAAAGCCCCCAAAATATAATTCTCAAACTCTTTCAAGGTTAGGAATAATGTTAAATAATGTCATCAGTGAAGACAATATAAGTTCTGTGCAATTTCATGTGCCGTGTATGCATGTTTTCCCTTAATTTAGCTTACAGATTAATGTTCTTTTGTATCTTTTTCATTTTGCCTTTATTCTTTAACATTTAGGTGCCTTGACCCAAGCCATTCGAAATTTTGCAAAAAGCCTTGAAGGTTGGCTTTCCAATGCCATGAACAATATTCCACAGAGAATGATACAAACCAAGGTATACTTTTATATCTTTGCATATTCTTTTGTGTTTAGGAAATTATTCTGGACTATGAGTTTTATATGTGCCCTATGAAATAGCACTATGTAAAATGTTGATAATATAACATATACAATTTTAAAATTGATTTTATATTTGTATTTTATAACAATGTGATAAAGAACTTGCACAAGATATGTTTAATAATAATCCTTTCAAAAGACTAGAGAAGCATTTTAAATGTGTATTTATAAGCCCTTTTTAAAGTGTATATTTCAGATTGCTTAATTTCAAATATTAAATTAAGAATAGCCTAGAATGTTCAAATAGTTCCCATTTAAAGGATTTTTAGACTCTTTAAGTCCCCATCTATGCTCATTGTGTTGTGAAAAGTTCATGTAAATTGATATTCTTTTACATTTTTTAGGATGTTTTTGGTATATTTTTTAAATGCTGGAGAGTGCTTTTGTAAATCAAGTAATCACTTCTTAAAGTGAACAATTATCTCATTATTTATCTAGAAATATGAATTCTAGTCTCCACTTTGTCCCTTACTAAATGTGTCACTTTAGGTTCATCTGTGAACATGCCCCCATGACAGGATTGAACTAATTTTGTCTAAACTTTGATACCAAAAATTACACTTCTGGATTTTTGTCAATGACTATATCCACTATCATACTCCAAGAACATACATTATCTTTGAACTTGGGGCTATACTTGATAGATTGCAGCTCTTGCAGCTGACAAATTCATTTAGGAATACAAGTAGCTCCCAGTTCTTCCTATTTTGACTGAAGTTTCACAATAATACTTTCTAATTCTAAACATATAGAAAAAAACATTTCATTGATATTTCACCTTAGATTTTTACTTTAGAATATGCTGTCAATACAGTAGGGGTAGCCACATTTGGTTATTGAATTTTAAATTTAAATTTAGTTTCTCAGTCATACTAACTACATTTCAAGTGCTCCATAGCATCATGTAGATAGTGGGTACCGTATTTGGCATCATGTATGTAGCATTTTCGTCATTGTAGAAAGTGCTCCATGGCAATGCTGTTCTAGAGTACCACATCGAGGTGGGAAAACAAAGAGGGTGCTACTTGATTATGATGGCCAGAGGAATGTTTTCCAACTTGGGAAGTCAATCCTGTTCATAACAGTATGTCAAACAGCTGAAAGCAACTCCCTACCCAGTGTCATCAAAGGATGTGGTAGAAATCTAGCTGCAGTATTGGTCATTTCATTGATCTCCAGATTTGATTTGATTTACCTCAGTGGAGGGTACCTTCTGCTATTTCTCTCTCACTAATGTGTAGCATTTTTTTAGCTGAATACTCAATTAATGAAGACAATCTACCCTGACAAAGGGAACAGAATAGTGAGATTATAACTGGCCATTGTTATCAAAACACCTGGGTTCATACATATCCAATCACTGTAATATAGTTTCTTTGTAACCTTGAACAAACTACTTAACCTGTTTAACTCATAATATGTTTTTAGTAGGATGGTTATGAGAATTGAACAAGGTAATATATTAGAGGCACTTAACACAGTGCCTGACATATATATAGTATGTACTTGATTAATATAAACTACAGAAATGGGGGGGAAATTGTAAGATCTCTTTTTTTTTTTTGTGAGGACATGTGAACTTCCCCAAAGATCCACATAGTCCTATAAATCTCATTATCAAAATAGAGCATCCTTTGACCTGTGAACACCTTCTATCATTCACCCAGTTGTTTCTTCTATACCCATAGCGATTTAATGCCATGCCATACTTTCCTATAAATATGTGTAAATGCTCATTAGATCTACTGTGCATGTTAGAAGTTTCTATAAGAGTTCTGAGATTTAGATATTTATCTAGACTTTTTTTTTGCATTATCTTTAATCTCTTTCATTGTAACCTGGTTCATTCAGGTTTGCAGCAGGAGACAAATGGTCTATCTCAGTGGTCGGCAAACCACGGCTCGCGAGCCACATGCGGCTCTTTGGCCCCTTGAGTGCGGGCGCGCATGTACAGTGCAATTGAAACTTCGTGGCCCATGCGCAGAAGTCGGTTTTCGGAAAGGAGATAGACGAAACAAGTATACAAGACGAGTGTGGATGGGAGAGTTGGAAGGGGTCGATCTCAGCGAACGTACCTCAATCAGATTGAGTATGTTTTTAGCAAAGGCCAGCTTAGGAGTACCCTAATTAAGTTAATAACAATGTACCTACCTATATAGTTTAAGTTTAAAAAATTTGGCTCTCAAAAGAAATTTCAATCGTACTGTTGATATTTGGCTCTGTTGACTTAATGAGTTTGCCGACCACTGGTCTATCTGAAGGGGAAAATAATTGAAGAGGGTTTAAGAAGGGTTTACTTCCAAAGGTGTGAACAGAGTTAAGAAAAGGAATGGTAAAGTACCTCAGGAGTAGCAATAGTGAGAAGTCCTGCCCTAACCGGTTTGGCTCAGTGGATAGAGCATCGGCCTGCAGACTCAAGGGTCCCGGGTTAGATTCTGGTCAAGGGCATGTACCTTGGTTGCGGGCACATCCCCAGTGGGGAGTGTGCAAGAGGCAGCTGATCGATGTTTCTCTCTCATCGATGTTTCTAACTCTCTATCGCTCTCCCTTCCTCTCTGTAAAAAATCAATAAAATATATTTTAAAAAAATAGTGAGAAGTCCTGAACATGCCTACATCTAGAAGGGAAAGAGGTGAAAGTCATGACATTAAGATACTCTTCTTGCTACAGAACTGTGGTCATAGAAACGGAAAACAGTCTCTGCCAAAATAGGGAGAGAACAGAAATTGCGGGGGAATAAATAATTATTGACTCTATTCCCATCTTTCAGTCTTTTGCCAGTGCCCATCATTGGAAGCCAAATGGAAGCCATGGTGTAAGGGAGGTGGTTACTAAAGTACATTCAGGACAATCTTCCTGAGCACAGAGCAGCAACAATAAGGATGGGAAATAGATTTTGAAGGGCAAATGGAGATTTCCTGACTAGCCCTTTTACAGAAATTTATATTCTGGAAAAGAGTTCTTATTGCCTGTATCTGATAAGTTTGTTAGCTACAGAGTTGCTAATAAAGGCTATGAATTCTTTTGTTTTACCTCAAAATTACCCATTTCTATAAAATAAAGGGTAGTAAGAGTGAATATGAATGACATTCCTCTGGAAAGTATATATTTTTATCCATTTTAAAAAGTGGGACTCTCTAGTTTGCTTTTCCAAGTTAAAAAAAATTATTTGCCAAGTTTATAGTTGACTGTCCTACAGAGAGTAGGGGGGAAAAAAAGAAAATCAATATTTTTTCTGCTTCCCCAGAGAAAGTCATTTCTTGCCATGGATGAGTAGTTATTTGTAAGACTGGTTTAATTAATTCTGCACTCAGATGTCAAAGAATGTGGGAATTTGTTTTAGTCTTGACCTCAACCCACTCAAAAGAAAATAATACTTGGTTTAGAGATTTCAATGCTGTAATTTACAAGTAAGCTCTCTCACCAAATGAATGTGAAATAAGTATCAGAGGGAAGCATTTAAAATTTGGCAAGGGAATAAAGATTTGAGCATGTGCAGTGGTTTCTGTTACTAGAAGGAAAAAAAGAATCCCATTTTAATTGATTCTCTACAGGTTGCCGCTGTAAGTGCCTTTGCCCAGACTCTGCGAAGATACACGTCGCTCAATCACCTGGCCCAGGCAGCTCGTGCAGTGCTTCAAAACACATCTCAGATTAACCAGATGCTCAATGACCTCAACCGTGTCGACTTTGCCAATGTCCAGGTACTCTGTGTTCTTGCAAAGTGTGTTTTTGAAGAGAAGACACTTAATTTTTTCTTCTTAATTAGGATCATCATATTTCTTTTTAAAGTTACATCAATACACAGGCAGCATCTCCACAACACCTGAAAGAAGGGAGTTTTACTCAGTTATGACTTTACTGCTCCTCTGTTTTGTGGTTCAAGCCCACTAAGATTTATAGTACTAGACACAACCTGTGTCACCAGGGTTTCCTGAATGGTTAATGGGCTAAGGACCATCACAGTCATTGACGTTAAATAGGCAAGAGGTTAAATTATTCCATCTCCTTACTGTGGGATCTTAGGCAAGTTACTTAACTGCTCTGGGTTTTACTTTCCCCACTTTATAACACCTATCTTACGTTGTGCTATATAATAAAAGCCTAATATGCTAAGTGTCCCGTCAGCCATTCAACCAATCAAAGGGTAATATGCTAATGATATGCTAAGGCCACTCAATTGCTCGCTATGATATGCACTGACCACTAGGGGGCAGACAGTCGAACGGTCAACCAGTTGTTATGACATGCACTGACCACCAAGGGGCAGATGCTCCGACCAGTAGGTTAGCTTGCTGATGGGGTCCAGCCAGTCGGGACTGAGTGAGACGGGCCAGACACACCCTGGAGCCCTCCCACGGTCCCTCCCAGGCTGGCCGACCTCCGACGTCCCTCCCCAGCCCCGATAGTGCACCAGTGGGGTCCCTCGGCCTGGCCTGTGCCCTCTCGCAATCTGGGCTGAGGGCCCCCCCTCGCAAGTGCACGAATTTTCTGCACTGGGCCTCTAGTGGTTTATATATTTAGTAATATCCAAAACCCTTTGTACTGTAACACACAAGAGATTTTTGTTCTTAATAGTGCCCCATCTTGAAAGAACTCAGAATGACCCTATTTCAGAGTTTACTATAGGTGTCTATTAAGTATTTGTTCATTTGAAAAGAATTAGGTGTAATGTTTGACTATTTTGATCATCCAAATAAAAAATATATATTTGAAACTTGTGATCAAACTACTCACTTTTACTTTAAATTACAGTTAAAAAATAGCTAATTTAGGAATATTATTATGGAATTCCAACATATAGTTCACTTCAAACACTAAAGTAATAAAGCAAATTGTTGCCATATAAAAACTGCCATTACTAATAATAGAAATAATAAAATAAAAAATACATAAACTAAACATAATCAAAGTTAAAAGCTTTTGTTCTTCAAAAGAGACCATCAAGACAATGAAATGGCAACTCATAGAATTGAGAATATTTTTATAAATCATGTATCTGATAAAAATTGTATCTAGAATCATATAAAGAGCTATTTCAACCCAATAATAAAAAGATAACCTAGTTTAAAAATGAATGAGCAAAGATCTGAATAGACATTTCTCAAAAAAAGATATACAAATAGCCAATAAGCACCTGAAAGGATACTCAGCATAATTATCTACCAGAATGATGAAAATCAAAACCACACTGAGATGCTACTTCACACACACTAGAACGGGTGTAATAAAAAAGACAGATCATAAGTGTTGGTGAGGATGGGGTGAAATTGGAACCCTCATACACTACTGATTGAAATGTAAAATTAAAATGCTATAGCCACTTTGGAAAACAGCCTGGCAGTTTGAACATAGAGTTACTATATGACTCACCAGTTTATTCTTAGGTGTATACCACAAGATATTAAAGCATGTCCACATAAAAACTTGTACATGAATGTCCATAGCAGCATTATTCATATTAGCTACATCAAAGTATAAGCAACCCAAATGTCCATTAACTAATGAATGTGTCAACAAAATGTGGTATCTTCACACATGAAATATTATTGGGCAGTAAGACAAAATGAAGTTCTGATAGATGCTACAACATGGATGATCCTTAAAAACATTATGCTAGGTGAAAGAAGTCAGGCACAAAGGACCACATATTGTATATATCTACTTTATATATATATAAAATAGATTAGTTGTTGCCTAGGTCTGGTAACTGGGCATTGGAAAGTGACAGATTAGCGGTGTGGGGTTTCTTTTTGAAGAAATGAAAACATTTCTAAAATTGACTATAGTGATGGATACACAATTCTGTGCATATAATAAAAGCCATTGAACTGTATACTTTAAATGAGTGACATTGTATGACATGAATTGTATCTCAAAACTGTTTAAAATAATTGCTTAAAACAAACTATTAATTACTCAATTTCCTAGAAATTTTAATATGCAGTTCTGGTCTGGTTTTATCATTTAAAATATATTAAAAATTAATACTGGGCTTCATTCATTTTAGGATATAGTAATCTAGCTGTTCTTTCTGACTTTCATGAATTGGGCTCAAACTTATGATGTATATAAAGTTTTTTTTAACTTTTTTGAAAATTGATTTGAGAGAGAGAGAGAGGAAGAGAAAAACATCTATGAGAGAGAGAAACATCGATTGGTTGCCTCCTGCACGTGCCCTGCCTGGGATCGAACCCACAACCTGGGTCTGTGCCCTGACCAGGAATCAAACCTGCTATCTCCTGGACTATGCTCCAGCCATCTGAGCCACACCAGCCAGGGGGATGTATATAAAGTTTTTTTTTAATCTTTCTATATATTTATCAATTTCTCTATATACAAACATAAATTTATACACACATGCAAATGTATTACCTTTACCAGATGAAACTCTCTGGTTTACAAAGCCATTAGCTTTATATATATTTCAATAGAATTTATGTTAACTAATTTCAGTGAAAATATAAGAAGTTTATATTGCCTTAAAATTTATTCTCTATTGTTTATTTCAAATCTTCATTCATTCTTAAGTCTTCCTTTAAAAGTATCTTTAGAAAAGTTGAAGTAGTTAGGCAACTTCTAGTTTCAAAAAGTAATTTAAGTTCAATCACAGAAAATAAATGAATGATTCCCAATAATATCTGAGATTTTAAATTTCCTGTTAACATTATTTTTATATGTGTATTTGTAATGCCTGCAATCCTATGAAGTATTTACAGAAATGAGTTCTTTCAGGGTATAAACAACAACCTTGAGAACACCTTTGCTTATAAATGGTCGATTATGTATCTACTCTATTACTCATTCTCCACCCACCAGCTTTGAGGCTACCTTTCCCCTTCCTCTGTTTTCAGCTACCAAGTTTTCCTCTGCCCACATGACAGTTATTTGTACTGAAACCTGTATGATTAAATACCTATCCTCTGTTCTGGCTGGGTGTCTCCGCTCGTGGGCGCCATCCAGTGCACTGAAAGGTGGCTGGTTCCATTCCCAGCCAGGGCAGGCTGGATCCCCAGTAGGCGGTGTGCAGGAGGCAGCGTATGGAACTGTTGCTCTCACATCGATGTTTCTCTCTCTCTCCTAATCCTTCTTCTCTCTCTAAAACCAGTAAAAACATATTTAAAAAACAAAACAGGACACTTATCCACCAAATAATCTTGCTTTTCCTTAGAAGATCATGGACACATTGGTATACCCTTCCTTTCCCCCTACATATTATGTCTCACACCTCTTTTCATTTTAATGAATAATCTCTTTCTATAGGTAGCATATTCGATCTTTAACTTCCTTCATTCTTTCCTTTTCTGCTCCAACTTTTGCCTGATTTTCTCAGTTCTGGTTTTCCCAGTCCACCGCCTACCGTTCCACCTCTATCACCCCCTCCTCTTCATTTGGAAGTTGCCCTGCCCCTACAAGGTTAACCTAAGTAAGACTGACCCATATAAGGGTGATGCTCTTTTAATAAGGAAACTTGAATTTAAGTCGGTGAAATTACATATAAGGGTCAATACTATCATACTCTGAGAGCTTGAATGTATTAAAAAGTTTCTTTCTGGATATTCATATATCTTTCACCACTTCAAAATTCTCTAGTTAAGTTTTCTTTTCCTCAGGATAATTTTTCTATTGCAGTATCATTGTTTTTTGTTTTATTTAATTGATAGCATTACAATGGTATTATTTTCTAATATTTTGTGTGTAAATGATAGTTTTCCATCTACATTGTGGGCTAAGTAGGTTTCCGTGGGTTGACCCAATAACCTAACTATTGCATATATTTATTTCACAAGCATGGAACAGACTGTGGAATCTCAGAGGCAAGGTGAGGGTGGGTGGGGGAGTGGGAAGAGATCAACCAAAGAACTAATATGCATATATGCATACATCCATGGACACAGACACTAGGTGGGGGTGGTCTAGAAGAGGTCAATGGGGGGTAAGAGGACACATGTAATACTTTCAACAATAAGATTTTTTTTAATATGATTTTAAAACTACTGACTATAGAACTGAAATATCCAAATTCCTTTCAGAAGGGAATGTTTACAATATATTCTACCATTATTAAATTTTCAGTCTTGAGAGTAGCAAAATGAAGTACATTATAAAGTAGTTTGAAAAGCCACAATAATGTCCTCTGACTTTACTTCTCTAAGTTTGGTTTTAGATTATTATTTTTCATGGCAAAAACTAACTACTAAAGGAATTAGTGAGTTTGAATTTATAGTAAGAAATTAAATGAAATTCTTCTGGAGTACCAATAAGTTCCTCCTCTCAATTATCAGTGCACAAACACATAAAAATAAGGTCCCCTATAATGAGTATAAAGTTTTATTTTTTTCAAAATGAAAAATATTAAAGATAGATTGCATAATAAGGACATATAGTTCACACTCCTATACTAGACACTAAAAAATGTTAAGATGATAAATTTGATGTGTTATTTTACCACAACAAAAAAATGTTTAGACATTAATTTAAAAAAACCAAAACAACCTCCTCTGTCCTTTCTTTATGGCCACAATACTTCCCTGGGTATTCTCCTGAACTCTTAAATTGATATATCATTTCTGGGAGTTATTTGACATTATATTTTGAAGTATTATAACTATTTTATTATTCTGTCATACAGAAAGAAGTGCAAAAAAAAGCAATGATATAGTTACAAGATTGCTAATTCTGGTATTATTCCTACTAGTAAAAAATTGTAATGAACAGAAATGTCTAGTTGTATGGAATTGGTTATGTTAACAATGCTATATTCATGTATTGAAGCAAATTTAATCATTGAACATTAAATATAGCTCTATATTTGCCAAAGTGGAAAGATGGTTATCATATATAGTTAAGTGAAACTAGGCAGAATATCTAGCAGAATGTGTCATATAATCCTATTTTAAATATTTATATATGCATATACATACATGCATATTCATATGACATGTGAAAAAATTGAAAAGGTATACACAGTAGCATGCTGTAGTTATCTCTTTATGTTGGCATTTAGGTATTCTTAATATTTTTTATTATTTGTATTTGTTATTTTTCTATTGTCACATTTTAATGTACTTAAAATATTTAAAAGTGGTATTTAGGAAGTAAAATCTGAAAGTGTTTATGAGTAATTACATAAGACAAAGAAAGGTAGTAGATGGTATCATCAGCTGGAAATATAGAAGAAACTATAGATTTCCCTGGGGAAATAAAGTGAATGAAGTTTGGCATTTTGTCTCTGAAGCACCTCCCTGTTGAAATGTCTCTTGAATAGGTGAAGTTTATAGGATCAGGAGCAACGGTGGAACCAGTGAGTGCAGATTAGGGATTTATTTAGTTGAAATTGTTGATTTGAATGAACTTGTCCTTTGAGAGTAGATAGAATGAAAGCTATAGACACACTTTATAGAAGAATACACACATATTCACAATTTTTAGGTATAGAATTAGGACCTTTACAGTTTCCCCTCCACAAAAACCTATCTTGAAAATATTATCTGGACACATGAACCCACCTTAAAAATTACTGTCACATTTCATTTCTCTAATTGTATGTTTGGGGAAAATGAGGCCACTGAAATTAAATGAATTGCTTGAGTCCAATTTAATCAATTCAAGCCCTACATAAAATCCATGTCATCTTTCTCTCAGTCGATTATTATATTATGAAATAATTACACTCTGGCCATGAGAATATACGTGCTTTTAGTAATCTTAAAAGGCATTGGAAACATTATAGAACTTATGGTAACCACTGAAAAGTAGCCTTAAAAGTTCCTGTTTCATTGCTCTCACCAAACATGAAACTTCCCAGTTATAACCAGAAGGAAAGCTGTAGGAGTTGTTTCTTGGAAGTTAGCATATCCACATTTTCTCAAAAGTATTTTTGTTGTTCTCAGTTCTGTAGATTAATTTGCATTCATAGCCTTGCCTTGACCACTCTGGAGATTGGCTTCCCATTTATAAAACTCATACAGCACATGCTTCTATCTAGTACTATTCAGTGTTTGTTTCTGTTTTCATCCTGAAAGACCACTTTTGGCCAATCGAATCTGTCCGTCTGAGTTACTCTATCAGCGGTTCTAAACCTGTGGGTCGCGAACAATGAAAATACATCCTGCATATCAGATATTTACATTACGATTCATAACAGTAGCAAAATTACAGTTATGAAGTAGCAACGAAAATAATTTTATGGTTGGGGGTCACCACAACATGAGGAACTGTATTATAGGGTCGCGGCATTAGGAAGGTTGAGAACCACTGCTTAAATCTTCTCAGATGAATTGGCTTTAAAGTTTTATTTGATTGGTAGCAGGGGGAAAAGAGCACTTTGGAAGGCAGCATAAAAACTGAATAGAGTGAAAGACCTTGCATCCTGTAGGTTCAGGCTTCGATTGTTCTTCAGTTATAGGTGGTTGTCTTCCATACAGAATAGGTCATGTAGAAAATCCAAGTCCTTCTTTTATGTCACATCCCTTTTTCATGCACATAGGCGATGTTAGTTTCCTTAACAACTGACAGGTAAGTAGTCATTCATTCTCTTAATTCATTTAAATAATTTCCCATTCGTGCATATGGTTTGTGTGCTGCCATTCAATGAAAAGATATTGTGTTGAACTTTTCTTTTGCTTTGTGTGTACTGTCCCAGGAGCAGGCTTCCTGGGTGTGCCAGTGTGATGACAACATGGTTCAGAGACTAGAAACAGACTTCAAGATGACTCTCCAGCAGCAGAGCACCCTGGAGCAGTGGGCCGCATGGCTGGACAACGTGATGATGCAAGCCCTGAAACCCTACGAAGGGAGGCCCAGTTTTCCAAAAGCCGCCAGGCAGTTTCTGCTAAAATGGTCTTTCTACAGGTACATCTCAATTTTCACTAAGCTTTATTGTTCATAGTCTACAAATATGTGTGTAATGTACACACTTCTCAGACAAAATAAATAAGTGAAGACTTTAATTTGTAGAAACTCAATTCATTGATTGCAACTTTATGGAATTATACCAGGAGGCTTATGACACTCAGCTGTCTGCTAGGAGCAAAAAGCCTCTTCTCAGAGCCCTAGAGTTCTCAGATGGGAACACCCAAGACTCCAGCCTAGAGAATGTGTTTAGCAACAGCAAGAAAGGGGCTACAGTCCTCCCTCTGGCAAACAGACATTATATAGGCTTCTTTCTTGAGGCCTTACCACCACTTCTTTCTATTCTCTGCTTCAGTGATTCTCAGAGACCAGTGGCATCACTATGGCTCAGAACATGTTAGAAATACAAATTCTCAGGTCCCCTCCCCCAAATCTCTTTAAATCAGAAACTGCAGAGGTGAGGCCCAACAATCTGTGCATTTTTTAATGTTGTCCTGGTGATTCTAATGCATGCTCAAAACCATCTAGTTAAATTCTTATTGATCAATTACAACTGTTTTCAAACCTAGCTGCACATCAGAATTAGTGTAAAAAAAATCTACATACCTCCCAAACCTACTAGATTAAAATCTTGATGGTTAGGGAGTAATGATGAGGAATAAATCAGAAATTCTTTCTTTAAAAGCTTATTTCTGGTGATTCTAATGCATAGCTAGTTTAATATCCAATAATCTAGTAGACAGTACAAAATGTATCACTTTTTGACTGAAATAATATTGATATAAATGTATATTTTTGTAGACATAGAAGAACCCTGGAAGAGAAAGGCTTTCAGATTACTTGATATATGATATCAAATGTTGGTATAAGCTGTTGACCATAGGTCTGCCCCAGGGGTTTAAAACAGAGCCTAAGATGGCATAATACCTTTTATACTTGGGATGGGATTGACAGATGAAGTTCCATTTCATAAGTTAGATCAGCTATATTTTTGACCCTGGCATTTGTTCTTAAGGTGGGTTCATTTCTTTGCTTCTTTAGATAAAGGTAACCCCATTGACTTGGGCCTAAAAACCATATATACTTTGAGGTTTGGGCAGGTTCCTAATTTTGATCCTATACAGCCATTCGAGTATCGTATCAGAAAGTAGTGACCACAGGATATACCGCTGACTGTGGCTGTGGGTACACCGAGGTTATTATCTAGACACCAGCTGTGAGTCCAAAGCTGGCTGTGAGGAGAGGAGGTCTATGGAGAAGTAACAGAGTTTAGGAACTAGTAGGGCTCATGAACCCAGTAAGGCCAGACTATAGAATTTCATCTTGTTTTGATCACCCTTATAAAAATATCTTTTCATTATGATGGTACTTGCTTTGGTTTTTATTGTAAGTGACTTGCTTTCTTAGCCGATTTGGTCCAATTCTTATTTCTTAAAGTAGAGCTGCAGATGTACTATATATGTTCAGTTAAGAGTTAAATTAGAAAACTATTTTCAGGATGTAAGAATAGTGTCTAGCAAAGGTTCAAATGCAGTGAAAGAAAGCTTGCCAGTTTCATGTTATTTTGTTTTTGGTTTTGGAATGAAATAATTCCACAGATCTGTCTCTCATACCTAATACCTGTGGCCCACATGATTTGAGAAGCACCTTATGAAGATGCTGTCTGACTGTGACCCGCTGGTATGCTTCAGAAAAGCCTATGCTTGATTTAGAATCTCCTCTGGATATATGGGGAAGATTTAGAAAACAGCGTCACAGTGTTCTCAAAGTAGCAGTAATTTAGAAATCAAATTTTTAATTTGGGAATATTTCTTAAGATTTCATGTATTTTTCTATTTTCTTGCAAGTTGAATTGTTATTCATCCATTTTTCTCCAGAAAATTAAATAGATGCTATATGTGCTTCATGAATGATTGATGAAACAGAAATTCTACTAGCTGATTATTCCAAAACCCAAATGACCAAAAGCAGAGTACATCCTCTATATCAGAAAAAGCAAGGTTTTTTTTCCCTTTTCACTGCTTTCTGATGATGTTGTGTCAGGCCTGCCCTTACTTCTTCCTGGAGGTTTTTATTTTTACTATATTTAGTTGATAGCATTTTAGAAATATACCCCTGGAGCCTTTGTCTCCACAGAGATGTGTTGCAGGTATGTTGAAAAGAGAAAATTACTTACTTGTATTTTTGTTCTCACAGATACACAAACCCAGATCATCACTTGCCTGCCCTCTGTCCTCCCTGAGTTGGAGATAATTGGCTTGTTATTATTAGGCACTATTATGGTTATTATTTTCATTTCAAAAAGACTTGAAGGCGTACAGTGCAAGGCCACAGAAGGGAAGGCATATTCTGACAGATGCATACCTCCTGCTGGTAGGCAAAGTCAATAGCTTAAAAACCTAAAAGCCTTTAGAATCTGAACTGCTTTTTACTAAGGCATTAGAACATATTGAGTAATGAACACTGCATTCACAAACTATCAGAGAAACAGAATTGCAGCTATTTTTTTAAGTTTTTGGCATTGTGATAAGAATTTGGCAGTCACTTATACAGACTCTCAATTTCTGAAGCCAGTTAATCTTACAATTTCTAAAATTCTGTGTGTCTATTTACATGCATACGAATATAGAAATGGACTGGCAGGCAATCATGATATCAGCTGGCAGTTGATGAATGGCTGCAAACACCCTCTTTTCTGGATAGGGGATCTCTCCTTGCCTAACCTGGCTTTAAATGGCTACTGTTAGCTCCCTGGGAGGTGGAGAAAAAATAATCACCGTCTTTCTTGGGCAGAAATGGAGAAGTTATGTGGGCCATTTCTCAGCTTGTGTGTTTTGTGGATAACAGAACACAGCATTAACTCAAGATAACCAAATATCCCATTTTTAAGGAATTAAATGTATAGCTTTTATAGTGATTTGAAAGGGGGCACAGGGAACCTAGCTTTACTACAACTGGACAATATATAAATCTTCCATAAAGTAGCACTCTTTTGGAATCAACTGTAATCACTGTTGAAAAGACAGTCCAGGCCCTGACTAGGAAGCTCAATTTATTAGAGGGTCATCCTGATACACCAAGGTTGTGGGTTTGAGCCCCGGTCAGGGCACATACAAGAAGCAACCAATGAATGCATTAAAAAGCGGAACAACAAATTGATGTTTCTCTCTCTCTCCCCCTCTTTCTCTCTCTCCCCCCCCCCTCGTTCCCTCCATCCCTCTCTCCCTTCCTCCCTCCCTTCCTGCCTTCCTCCCTTCATCTCTCTCTATAAAATCAATAAAAATAAAATTTTTAGAAGAAAAGAGAGTTCCCAAGGGGGTCACAGTTGTGATGTTCTCACCTTTCTTCTTAGGAAGGGTGTGTTATATCCCCAAATACACAAAGAGGTGGATTGAGTATCATGTGTTAGAGCAAATGTTTCCATTTCCACACCATGAATTATAAAGATAAATACACAAAGGTATCTCTCGCCATTATAAAATAATTAACATTTATTAATGATTTTAAAATGAGTTGAATTTGTGGTAACTTAGCAACATGAAGTTCAGTGGAATAAATTTTGCAACATGTCTTATAGAAGTCTGAATCAAACAATAGGTTTCTAATTAAACTGTTAATTGTGTCATTTAGTACTTGGTTTGTAGGGCAGAGGCCGAACACAGAGAGAATAAAGTAGACATGGCATTAATAATATAACTCAACTGATTCTGTTCTAAACATGTGACAATAATTTCATGGCATGCTTATCAGTATTGTTTAAAAGATAGCTAGGTATTGCCCTGACTGGGTGGCTCAGTTGATTGGAGCATCGTCCTCTTCACCAAAAGGAGGTTGCCAGTTTGATTCCCGGTCAGGGCACATACCTGGGTTGAGGGTTTGATCCCCTGTCGGGGCACACACTGAAAGCAACCAATCTATCTCTATGTCTGTCTATATCTCTCTGTCTCTTTCTCTCCCTCCCTCTGTCCCTTCCTTTCTCTAAATTCAATAAACACACACATACACACACACCACGACACCCTACACATACTCCATCCTGACTCTAATTAGAAATATTAAAGAAGTTTGAAGTGCATGGACAAGCCAATGATTGGCTTATCTTAAACTCATTTACAATTTAAATATCAAGTTTATTGTTTGTATCAATAATAATAAAAGCATAATATGCTAATTAGATCAGACATCCTTCCTGACAACCTTCCGGATGAAGCCAGGGCTGTGAGGGAAGCCCAGGTCCTGGGTCCCGGGTGCCAAAGGGAAGCTGGTGCCGGCAGCCGGGGGAAGAAGGCCTACTCTTGCACAAATTTCATGCATCGGGCCTCTAGTTTTATTAATATTGTTCATATTTTGGTTTTATATTTTATAAATTAAAAGTTCACATTTCTCAAAGTCATGCGTTTCTTCATTGATTTTATTACACTTCTCATGGAAAATCACCTTAATTTAAGTGGAAATCAGTAAGAAACTGGAATCACAATAAATTTGCCTTCCACCCCAATTTGCACAAATCAGTGTAAAGATCATCTACATTCTACTTTGCCACATCTGGAACATTGCTTAGGTTTCGTAACCTTTGTATGGCACAAGTACATCTTTTCCCAAAGCGTACATCAAAGTCACTGTCATTGAGAGGTGGAAACACAATGTTTACCCATCAATAAGATTTTCACTTTGAGTTGCTTTTTCTTATGGTGGTGATGAGTTGTCAACTTTTCAAAACTATTTTATATTCAATTCTGACCCATATGAGAGTTCAGTGGAATCATCAGAGTTGCCTATGATAGTAAAATGGCTTTTCCCATAAAAACCTGTCTAGCTCTAATAAAGACCTAAGCAAGTGTCAGTGAGGATTACCTCTTTTACCACCCTGCTTCAAAGAGTTGAGCCAACTGCTTTTAATCATGAAATTATTGCATGGCAGGTTGTGTGCCATACCAATCTTTCAGACCTCCAACTTCTTCTTTTAAGAGAAAAAGTAGGTTGAACTCTAATCCTCGTCACTAATATTGGCTGCATCTGTCTTTTCTCTTGGAACAGCTCAATGGTTATTCGAGACTTAACCTTACGCAGTGCTGCTAGCTTTGGCTCCTTCCACCTGATCCGTCTACTCTACGACGAGTATATGTTCTACTTAGTAGAACATCGTGTTGCTCAGGCAACAGGAGAAACACCCATAGCTGTCATGGGCGAGGTAAGAGAAGCTGAAAGAACTATAACCCACGAGGTTTTTAAAAAAGAACCTGAATTACATTATAATCTAAATATATTCATTATTGATTAAAGCTATGGTTCCTAACCAGTAAGACTTAGACCCTGAGGGGCTGTGGATTTGTTTCAGGGGGTCCTTAAATTCCTCTGTTCATATATATTTTCTTAATCAGAGGATTCTAAAATTATAACTTATGTCATGTGCAAGTTCCTGGAATGTTTGAATTTGTTATATGGTACCTATGTAAAAGAAAAGTTTGAGAATCACTGGACTAAAAAAAAAAATCTAATTGAATGGAAAATAAGAAAGGTTGATGTTTCTGATAAAACTAAGGACTAAGAATGCAGAGGGGAAAAGTTAAATGTATTTTGTAGACTCTTTTTCCCAGTATCCAAAAGTGATGAAGATGATGATGATGATGATGATGATAGCTGACATTTTGGGGCACTTATATGTGCCAGGCACAGTTCTAAGTTTTTTCTATGCAACAAAGCATTTAACACAAGTCTTTGAGTTAGGTACTACTTTGTCCTGTTTTACGGATGAGCAGCTGAGATTCAAGTTGGAAGCTAAGACACAGATTAGATTATTACATATCTAAGTGGTAGAGATCTGGTTTGAATACTCAGTCAGATTTTTCAGAGCCTTGCTTCTGACTAGATGTGAAGAAAAAACTCTCCTCTTTAGAATTTTTAGATAGCAAGCAAAATGTCTTATTTCCAACAAATGTCTAAAAGCTAAAACTCTGAAGTTACTATAAACAAGGGTTTGTTAATATAATTAGGAATAAATGCAAATGCTCAAATGATTCAGCACGGCTCATTTTGTTGTGTTGAATTGGGGTACTTGAGGTCTTGCAGGATTATACCAGGTAAGACAACATTACAGATTACCCACAGCAATAAAGAAGTTCCATATATGTGCTTATTTAAATTTTAAAAGTGAAAATAAGTGTATTAGATGCATTTCCTAGTTTAATAAATATACTATTAAAGGTATAAGTTTAAAAATATACTTCAAGGACCTCTCTAAGTGTTCTAATATAAATAAAGTATATGTTAAGCATTCAGAATGTAGGTTAAACTATTCCTCTTCTTTAAAATCTCTATGTATGCTGATCTGTGTGTTTGTATGATGTTCATTAATGGTGCTTGTGTTTAAATGATGCCAGTTGTTTAGGTGTGAGACTTGATGGTGCCCTTAGTTCCTCTTTCTCCTTAGTTCTTTTATAGACGCCTGGTTGCAAAATGCCCAGTTGGTGTGTAGATTAAGTATTGTAAAATTTCTCAACTCAGGGCTCAAAACTTCTGAAATAGACATACCTTCTGGTATATTTCATACATTTGCCATCCACCTCATATGCTTCAGGACTTATTTAATAGAATGATCAGGATAATGATAACAAGGGTTCTCATTACCAGCATGTGGTCACTCCTGATGCTTGGCCTTTGCTTTCCTGGCATCTCTAGGGAACAAAGGCAGTGGTCATGAGCCAGGTGTGAAGACTTAGCAGCCTTCTCATATGCTTGTACAGGCAGCGCTGACTCACCGGAATGAAAATGAAAATAGCCTTATATAGTTGATACTGCTAACTATTCTAATAGGCAGTTTTTTCCCCCACTATGTGTAAACAGTATTTGTAAGTATGACAGATTATTAAAGGAGGTGAAAATATGAATAAGAATCTATGTCATAAAATAAAGTATGAAATACTTTCTGTAAGATCAAAGATCTAAGTACACCTCTTGATTTCTTTGCTTACTATCCCCTTACCCAACTTATAGGAAAATCCTTTGAGCTGTCTTTGCTCATTCATTATTTAGCCTAGGCCAATTAAGGCTAATTTTATACTTTTGATCTCCCCATACAACATTGATGCCTCAAACATACATTAGCCCTGGATAGACCAGTTGGCATGGCCATAATATCATATCTAAACTTTCTTGATTCTTGGAAAAAGAAGGGAATTCAAGAAAAAAGAATTCTGTTTATCCATGTGTTATATTAAGCTATCCTAGAAGTCAGATTGAAGGTAAAAAAAGGTTTTTTCATGTTGAGGTTCAGTTGCATTCTTAGTCCCATAGGTGACTTCCCTTCGCAAATGTCAAGTCCAGAGTACCTGTGTACACAGTGGGAGCAACACCTGAAAAATCACCATTACCCCTAATCACAGCAAGTGGTTTTCAATCATCAGTAAAAACAACCACAAAACAATAATTGTCACTATTTATTGAGCGCTGTTGTACACTTAATAAAATTAAACTCTTGATCTGTCTGCTAATGATACTACAATCTGTAAATGATACTACAATCCTCCCTGGTGATCATATTGGATACCTGAATGTCATCTTTCACAATTCTTTCTATCTGGTCTCCCATATCCAACCAATTACTAAGTTTGCTCCTTACTACCACCCCGTAGAGTAGTCAGTATCAGCTTATGAAAATATAAAGCTGATTGTGTTACCTGCACTTAAACCCTTCAGTAGCTTTCTCTTCTGTTAGTTAAGAAACAAACTCTTTCCTTGGTGCAGAAGGTCTGGTCCTGACTCTGATTAAACCTCAGCCTCCCTCTTACTACTCCTGTTATATTCACTGTGTTCTTTTCTCTGCTCTTATTCACCAAGCTTTTCTCATCATTGGACTACTGTATAAATGGTTCTCTCTACCTGGGACTCTGCCCAACTCTTCCTTGCCCCCAACCTAACTCCTACTTCATATCTTTTTTTATTGTTTAAAGTATTACAAATAGTAGTACATATGTCTCCTTTTTTCCCCATTGACCTCCCCCTGGTCTCCCCTACCCCTCAGCACATGCCCTCACCCCCTTCCAGTGTCTTGTGTCCATTGGTTATGCTTATATGCATGCATACAAGTCCTTCGGTTGATCTCTTACCCGCCCCACCCTCCCCTGCCTTCCCACTGTAGTTTGACAGTCTGTTCGATGCTTCTTTGCCTCTGTATCTATTTTTGCTCATCAGATTATAATGTTCTTTATATTCCACAAATGAGTGAGATCATGTGGTATTTACCTTTCACTGGCTGGCTTATTTTGCTTAGCATAATGCTCTCCAGTTCCATCCATGCTGTTGCAAATGGTAAGAGTTCCTTCTTTTTTACAGCAGCATACTATTCCATCGTGCAGATGTTCCTCAGTTTTCTAATCCATTCATCTGCTGATGGACATTTAGGCTGTTTCCAAATCTTAGCTATTGTAAATTGTGCTGCTATGAATATAGGAGTGCATATATCCTTTCTGATTGGTGTTTCTGTTTTCTTGGGATATAGTCCTAGAAGTGGTATTACTGGGTCAAATGGCAGTTCCATTTTTAATTTTTTGAGGAAACACCATACTGTTTTCCACAGTAGCTGCACCAGTCTGCATTCCCACCAGCAGTGAAGGAGGGTTCCTTTTTCTCTGCATCTTCTCCAGCACTTGTCGTTTGATGGTTTGTTGATGATAGCCATTCTGGCAGGTGTGAGATGGTACTTCATCGTTGTTTTGATTTGCATCTCTCAGATGATTAGTGACTTTGAGCATGTTTTCATATGTCTCTTGGCCTTCTGAATGTCCTCTTTCGAAAAGTGTCTGTTTAGGTCCTTTGCCCATTTTTTGATTGGATTGTTTATCTTCTTTTGTTAAGTTGTATGAGTTCCCTGTAAATTTTGAGATTAAACCTTTATCGGAGATAACATTGGCAAATATGTTCTCCCATGCGGTGGGCTTTCTTGTTGTTTTGTTGATGGTTTCTTTTGCTGTGCAGAAACTTTTTATTTTGATGTAGTCGTCCCATTTGTTTATTTTCTCCTTAGTTTCCATTGCCCTAGGAGCTGTATCGGTAAAGATATTGCTATGACAAATGTCTGCTGTTTTGCTGCCTATGGCTTTTTCTAAGATTTTTGTGGTTTCCCATGTTACGTTTAAGTCTTTTGTCCATTTGGAGTTTATTTTTGTGTATGGTGTAAGTTGGTGGTCTAGTTTCATTTCTTTGCATGTATCTGTCCAATTTTCCCAACACCATTTATTGAAGAGACTGTCTTGGCTCCATTGTATGCTCTTGCCTCCTTTGTCAAATATTAATTGAGCGTAATCGCTTGGGTCGATTTCTGGGTTCTCTGTTCTGTTCCACTGATCTATATGTCTGTTCTTGTGCCAGTACCAGGCAGTTTTGAGAACAGTTATTATTCTTTCTCAGGATAGGTGTGGCTATTCAGGGTCTTTTTTTATTCCAGATGAATTTTTGGAGAGTTTGTTCTAGGTCTTTGAAGTATGCCATTGGTATTTATTTTAATGGGGATTGCATTGAATTTATAGATTGCTTTGCATAGTATGGACATTTTAATGATGTTGATTCTACCAGTCCATGAACATGGTATAATCTTCCATTTGTTTATGTCTTCCTCTATCTCTTTTTTCAGCGTCCTGTAATTTTCTGAGTCCAGGTCCTTTCTCTCCTTGGTTAAGTTTATTCCTAGGTATCTTAATTTTTTTTTTTTGGTGCAGTAGTAAATGGGATTTTTTTAATTTCTCTTTCTGTGAGTTCGTTATTGGTATAAAGAAAAGCTATAGACTCTGGGTGTTAATTTTGTATCCTGCTACATTACCAAATTCATTTATTAAGTCTAGTAGTTTTTGATGGAGTCTTTGGGGTTTTCTATGTACAATATCACGTCATCTGCAAATAAGGACAGTTTTACTTCTTCTTTTCCAATTTGAATGCCTTTCCTTTCTTCTTCTTGTCTCATTGCTATTGCTAGCACTTCCAGTACTAGGTCAAACAGGAGTAGTGAGAGTAGGCATCCCTGTCTTATTCCTGTTCTTAGGGGAAATGGTTTTAGTTTTTGCCCATTGAGTATGATGTTGGCTGTAGGTTTGTCATATATGTCTTTTATTATGTTGAGGTATGATCCCTCTATCCCCACCTTGTTGAGAGTTTTTATCAAGAAAGGGTGTTGGATTTTGTCAAATGCTTTTTCTGCAT